TATATATATATATATATATATATACTAGCAGTAATTTATAAAAAAATCCGTAGCCTGAGGGCCACTTATTACTAAAGTGCGTCAACTTATGTCCTAATAATCGGTTATATTTTAATCGTACTTGTTAATCAACAAATCGGACCATCAAACTTATTAGATCTCAAATAATTTCCAATAACATTAGTTTACATAATCTTTATTGTTTACTAAAAGTAGTTTCAGAAAGTAATTTTAGCAAGGAATTGACCATCAGTCACTAATTATATATCCAATGCATTTATATCATCAGATTCATCTTTACTATTATTACTTTTATTACTTGTGTACCCCTTTGTATTATTACTTGTATACCTCAGTATATTCCCTCCACCCAATTTATCAGCACTATCTAAAAAGTACTTTTCTAACTCTGCTTTTTTCTTGTCAGACAACTTAGTTTCAACATACTCAGCGTGGTTAAGTCCAATCAGCTTTGGCACGATAAATCCTCCAAAGCCTCTACTCTTACGATAAATAATTGTCATCCCGCTGAGTGGCACTTGACTTTGTTTGGTCGCGGGACGTGCGTCGAAGAACGGAATCACCCCTTTTCCGAATCCAACCCTCGCCGTCATTCTGAACTCCAATTCCGTATTTGGCGGCGATAATTCCGAATTTATGTTGCTTTCCGTTGAAAGCCTCACATTCTTCAGTACTGTCTTTGTTCTGCAATTAGATACCATCAATGATTAAACGTTCACTTCCTAATTACTTTTCTAAATACTGAGACACTACAAAATACCTCGGTTTTACAATATAATTACTAAATTATTACCAACCACCTATATTTAAACAATCGTTGTTTAATTCCAAGGATGAAGAAATACCCACGACCTTCACTCGGCTAGGAAGTGGAATATTCCCAGAGCTGGAGATCACTTCACTTAGAGGCTGAGGCGAATAAATTCTTAATCGCAAGGTTTATTGGCTTAAGAACAATTTTTAGTTAAATAAAAATTTGTTTCACTACTTACCGAGCCTTTCTATAAGCGTTGTTATGTTGAGACTGCGTGTTGTTGTTGGCAATCACAGAAATATGCTGCTCTTTTATATCCTTTGACAAGGTTCCATTCTTATAAACAAACTTGGTCTTGAATATTTCAAGCTGAATAGCGCTCAAGTTCGGAGTTCCGAACTCAGAATTCTCATAGGCATTCTTGAACCTCGCCCCAGTTACAACATAGTCCTTGCCCACAATGATTTCATCCAGGTACAAGCTCTTCTTGTTCCGACTCAAGAAGGTGTAGTTCTTGTTGAATTTCAGCCCGATTTGCTCCGTTCCTTTGACCTTCCAGAAGCCGCCTTCTGGGGTGTTTTGCTGGTAGACAAGGTCGTCTAGCGGAATCCAACGGCGAGTACTCGTGTCTATTTCTCCTCCCGGTAGAATACGAGCCTCTTCAAGTTGGATGTGGACTACATTGTCCTTTTTGTGGAACCTCATATTCGAGACAACCCTTACAGACACCATAGTTATCATCAATACCATTCATGTTTAAACATCGAAATAAAATTTTGTGTAAACTTACATGCCGTTGTCGACATCAGTGTATTGAGGAATAAAACTGATGGTCCTAGTTGCGGTGGATTCAGCTCCTTCGGCAGAGCATTGACACATACACTCAATGCACTTGGATTCCTTCATAGTGTCGACCCAACGTCCATTACACTTCAATCGGCTGCTTTTGTCTGTTGAACTTTCGATCCAATGATACCTCGTCGGTGCGCCTTCGTTCTGCAAAATATAATAATTAAATTGACTCGAATGATTATTTGCTTTTCTGGTTGAAGTAACTTACCGCTTCACAGAATTCATAGTAATTCTTAACTTCGCAATCGTGAATCCGACCGTTGCACTGCTGCTTCGGACAATACTCTTTCACTGTCAAAGCGTCCTTGTTCTTTACATCTTTCTTGCAGGCGAGTTTGTTGACAGTGTCAATTTTTGGGCATGATCGGGAGTACCGGTTGCCAATCTGGTCGGTACTCAAGTAGATTATACTGAACAAATTCGTCAGGGAGAAGGTGTTGATGTCTAGAAATGTTAATATATGTAAGCCAATTGTAAGGGAAAATAAATCTTTTTGATGGATTAAATTAATTACCCAGCATGTACTCAGGAGGGTCACATTCAATGATTTCGGTGGATGCAAGTGCCATCGCCTTTTTCATGGCGATTAAGTTAGATATTGTCCTTTTGACGTAGTCTTTGAAATGTCTAAGTATATCGTTGTTTGCTGATCTGTCATCTGAAAGTTAGGAAATAAATAAATCATGAGCCAAGATTTGTTTAATAATGAAGAGATTTTGAAAGACATAATTGATCGTACTTATTTGAGTTTTGTAGTACTTGTGGGCGATAGTCAGCATCACTAAAGCACGGTACTCGTTGATAGAGATCAAGTTGTAAATCCTCTTGAGACGATTCTGGTAAGTGTCACTCAAGCCGCATTTTTCTTCAAATGACATTATCTAAAAAGGTTAAAAGTCGTTATAGTAACTTAGTAGATTCCTAGATGAATTACTAAAATAAGTCGAAGGCTTACCTTTCCTCTTTTGTTGAAGGCATCGAGGAACCCTTTGTACAGGAGAGATTTCTCGCTTGTAAGCATTTTCTGTATCTCATTAAGGTTCATAGTGAGTTCCTTAGCACCGTCGGCCAAGGTAGTATTGAAGAGATTCTCGTAGGTCATAGGAATCAAGGGAGTCTTGGGATTAAGATTTATTATGTAATCGTCATACATGCTCTGAATTTTCCTCAAAGCCTCAGCGAGCAGCTTTGAGGATGTCCTGAACTTATTTTCGACTTTAAGTCTATCAGCCAGGTTGTTCATCAATTCGGTAACTTTGGTTTCGATGGTAGCTGTTATTTTAGGAAGTTTATCCAGGACGTATTGCGATTTTATCAAAACTTTGTTTAAGTTCAAGTTGGTTCTTTCCGTATAATTCAGAGCTTTAGTGGTAATCTCGTCTATCTCAAATAATCGCTGATTGACGTTGGCCACCTGGTCCTCGGTGTCTTTTATGATTATCAAAGTTTCGTTCTTCAATTTCTCGTGATTCATTATATACTCGTTTATTTTTTCGATTGACTGCAAAGTTTCATTGCTAAGAGCGAACGGATCTTTGACTTCGTTATGACCCGGTGCTATGTCTTCTAATATGCCGTTGATTAGATTTCGGCCGGTTTCAACCATAAGATCGATAGCCATCAGAGGCACTGTTGCGCTGATGTCCTTTATTCCGAGAGGCAGGACCAGGCTCACAAATATCCAGTCCACTTGCTCATTTTTAAAGATTCACTCTTCTGAGCGATACCTTAAAATTTAATCTTGAAATTAATCATATTAATACTAAAAATTAAAATAATAAGACCTACCTGGATGATGATCAACAAGTGAATAAACGCCTCTAGCTCATTAATTTAATAACTTCAAGAATTCACTGACAAGACATTCCGGGTACTCAAGTTTAATTTCAAGTTTAATTTCCCGCCCAGTAAAGTTATAATTTAATAATTTCAGTGTCAAAGAGCGTCAGACGGTAGACAACTCACTCATTTATGTAAATTAATATCTTGACTGGGGATTTAATCTAACGACTTTTATGTAAATACTTTTAAACATCGAAATTGATGAGCAAATCAGTGCCAAATGTTTATGCCTACCCCCACTTCTAGTCCCACCTCCCACTCCTCAGCCTCAATTCTTCGCTGCACTCGGAGGAGAGAGAGCTGTCGAAATTTCGAAATCATCAAAATAAAACGACTTTTGGGATGATAAAAATTAATACTTCTTTAATGAATAAATAATAGTTTAAAAAAACTAAAAACACGCTTTTTATAGAAAATCAAACTAAAAAATAGAAAATAAATTTTAATAAATTTAAATTAAGAATAGTGTTAAAAATTTCAATAAATATTAATTAATAATAGTGTGAATTAAAAAAAAAATTATTTTATTTTTAAAAAAAAGCGTGGGGTGCATGTATCAATAGTTATAAATATTTTATTGACAGATATAAGTAGAGTGATTATCGTTTTGATAATATCTTAAAAAGCACCCCACGCTTTTTTTAAAATAAAATAATTTTTTTTTATTCACACTATTATTAATTAATATTTATTGAAATTTTTAACACTATTATAATTATTATTTTTATTGAATTATTAAATGATTAATTAATTAAATTATTATTTTTATTAAATTAAATTTTCAGTAAGTAATTTATTGATTAGTGAGAATAAAATAATTATTTATAAATATTATAAATACGGGGAATCAGAGTTCGATTTCGGAGAGGGAGCCTGAGAAACGGCTACCAGAACCAAGGAAGGCCGCAGGCGCGCAAATTACCCACGAAGAGTTACATACTGACATACTGACATACTGACATACTAACATACAAGTGAAGCTAATAAAAAGCGTCGTTAGTATTCGAAAATTTGTCAATATTAGAGAAATCGGCTAAAGATAATTATTAGAAATTAAAATTAACATCAAGTCCTGTCTTATCGACTGTAGAGAAAAATTATAGGCCGCAGGTGCGCAAATTACCCACGTAGAGTTACATACTGAATGACATACTGACATACTGACATACTGACATACTGACATACTGACATACAAGTGAAGCTAATAAAAAGCGTGTAATAAAGAATCCGTGGCGTTAAACTGTAATTAAACATCTAGTTAATGATTATCGATATTCCATTAAAAGTAATTGATAAATCGCTTGAAGCGGTAATTTAATTCAGACGCATTGACGTCAATATTTAATCTAAAATTAAAAAAAAAAAAAAATTAGCATTGGATATATTATATAATCAAGATACTAATACAGCTTAAAGGTTGGACAAAAACTACATCAATGATAAAAATTCAGGCAATATTGATATAATTATTTTTTATTTAAAAATCGTCCAAAGCTACAATAATAATCTTAGGAACGATCACTATTCTAATTCCACCTGTAGCTCTGAATTTTTTCGTCGTTTAACTCGTAGATCATCGCAGACGAGTGATCTATCCCCAGAAGTTTCAGTGCAGCGAACCCTCCGTAGCCTTTAGAGCTGCGATGGAAAGTTCCGATTCCACTGAGAGCAGTCAGACTCGCGATTCCAGCAGGTCTTGCGTCAAAGAAGGGTATCGTCAGGTGACCAGAGTTGTCATTTCCTGACGCGCTGAACATTAGATACTGGTTCGATCTGGTAACATCGATATTCCTGGTCGAGTCCATGGGGTTTCCGCGACCATTGAGCTCGACCTTCTGCCTAAGTAAACAAAAACCGACAATTATCAGTCTGAAGCTCGAAAAATAACAGAAATTTTGAAGAAAATACTTACAACATGAAACTGTTGCACTGAGTACAAAGGCTCTCATGGGTGTCGTACCACTTATGAGCTTCAGGCTTCTGGTGGAGCACCTCGCCTGTAAAGTAGTCGTACTTGGTCGCGTGGACCATAACGATAAGCTTACTGGAATCGATACCGTTGGCTTCTTTAAGGTAAAACCTGACCCCTGTTACCACTCTATCAGAATCTACTTTAATATCATGGAGCATCAGCTTGCTGTTGTCCTGGGTTAGGAAAGTGAAGTTTTCATTAGGGGTCAGCGGAAGCAGGTCGTTGCCGTCAACAATCGAGAAGGAACCTTCGGGAGTGTTTCGCGAGTAAACAAATTTCTTTAGATCAACCCAACGCTGACTACCGCGCTTAATTCTGCCTTCTGGAAGCAGTTCTCCTTCCTCGACTTGGATATGAACGACGTTGTCCCTCTTCTGGAAGCGAGCGTTGGTAACGACCCTGGAATAGAAGCTTATGATCAACCAGATTTCTTCAAGATTGATAAGATCACTTACATGTTGTTCTTGTAATCAGACATTTGGGAGAGCAAACTGACGGTTCTGGTCGCGTCAGACTCAGCTCCCTCTTCTGAACACAAACACATGCAACTTTCGCAACTGGCTTTGGTCATCGTATTAACGTAGTTGCCGTCACAGCTGCTGATTTTCGATCCTTCGGGATCTTTTTCGATCCATTTGTAGCGCTGCTGATTCGGAATTCGCTGGAGAAAAACGATCGATTGATATATACTGATGCTTGATGATGAAACTGTTAAATTCAAGGGAACTTACAGATTCGCAGAAACTGTAGCTGTTGGCTTTTTTGCAGGAGTGGAGCCTTCCTTTGCACTGGAATTGCGGACAGTAATGAGGAACTACATCACCTGATTTGCTTTCAGGAACAGAAAGGCACTCTAGATGTCTTTTTACGTCAATCTGATCGCAAGTAGTGTCACAACGAACGTCCAGTTGAGCGACGTTCATATAGTAGGCTCCAAATAGGTTGTTGAGTTCAAAGTTGTTGTCATCTGAAACAATAGATAATGTCAGACTGTTTTGTCAAAAGAATTTATGTAGGTTTGGATGAGAATCAGGAAAAAGTATAGATTTATGTAAAAATTCATAAAGAAAATGGTACATGGATTTCCTAAAGGGAATCCATAGGAAGAGTAATTGGATTACTATATGGAAATCTACATGGCACTACATAGATCTCATGGGAAATCCACCAAAGAAACTGTGAGACATACATTCCCAAAGTTTCCTATATGGATTCCTATATAAATCTACAGATTCCTACATTGAATCTTATGAATTCCATATCTACCATATGAATCCATACTTTCTCATGTGGATTCCCATGGATCCCCATAGAAACCTACGTGGATGTTTTTGATAGGCTATACTTGAGTGTCATTTAAGTATATAATATCAATTAATGATCTTAAACAACTGGGTGATGCGGAAGACTAACAAGCGCAAAGTTCGCGGTTCAAGTCCTCGATGTACCCAGTTGTTTTTTTCTGGCCTATGGCAGTATATATAATTACATAAAACTATATGTAATTATATTAATTTTTGTTGTTGGATTCCTACAGGATTACATGAAAATTCTACAGGAAAGCATATAGGAATCCATCCGAAAATACCATGTCGAAATCTATGAACATGGGTGTTTTCTATAAAAAATTTTCTATTCTTTTTGTGACTTAGATGTACTGGATAAAGAAAGGGACTGTTTAACTAATCCGTACATAGAAAAGAAAACATGAAAATCCCATAGGAATCCATTCGAAACTACCATGTAGGAATCTAAGCTGGTATTCAACATGGATCTTTATAATTGGTTACCTTTTAAATGAACAGGAGGGTCACAGCGCATTATGTCAGTAGGTATTTTCGCAAAGGCTTCTTTCATAATCCTGATGTAGTCTTGGGATTTGCAGATTAATTTGTCGACAAATAGGTTGACATCATTTCTTATGTTACCTAGAATAATAACGCGATTAATAGCAGCAGGGTGGGAATTAGAGAAGTGATAGTTGAGTTAGAGTTGTATTACCGTTTTTTTCTGGCTCTTTAATGGATATGTACTTGTAAGACACAACCTGCATGAGAAAATGCCGAAATTCGGTAATCATCACCAAGTTATAGATACCCTTGAGCTTGTCTTGAAACGTCGAATCTTTGTCGCATTTCTCTTCAAAACTTTGACTCTAATAAACAAATAAGGTTAAAAAAATTACTAATCTTTTACTAACACCAAAGATAAGCTGATTTACTTTAATAAGTTACAACACCAAGTTGGATTAACTTACTTCAACATATTTAACAAAGGTTGTTGGCAGATCATTATTAGTAATGGATGATTTCTTGAATAACGCCCATATATTTGCCATAATATCTCTGGGCTGACGGTTCTTGTAAGAAACTATCGACCGGAGAAAGTCTTGGAATCTCTTTTCACTCATATTCTGCATTTTCGTTGTGCGATTCACCAGGGTATCAAAGCTGTCGCTAATTTCTACAATATCTCTGTGCAGGGCTGCCCTATTGGTGTCGAGATCTGCCAGTATTCCGAGCTTACGGGCAGTTTCGTTAATTTGAACAGACAAAACATCTGTTATGGAATACGTCAGAACGTCAGTCTTCTTGATAACATCGTCAATTCGGTTCATCATATCCATAACTTGTATTTCACGACTCTGTGCTCTGATTGATATTTTTTTAAAGTTTTCAGCAGTCGTTTTAAGTTTTTTTTCCATCTCTATTGTCCGATTTTTAGCGTCATCTACTTTAACGTAAATTTTCATCATCTTGTTATTTTGCCCCTCAAGATCATTTTCAAACTGTCTGTACTCCTTAGAGTGATCCGGCGCCAGTTTTTGGGGTACAAACACCCCAGTAATGTCTGCTACAGTCCCAATAATATTTTTAACTATCGAACCGATATTGAAGATGTTTCCAAAACTGAAAGCTTGCGCTTCAGGATAGCTGGCGCTAATTAGAAGTACCAGCAGCGCTAGTGCCGGTAGTTTCCCCATTGCTAAACAAGGTTTATTATTAAGAAAATAGAAGTTACAATAACAACAATAAGACCTACCTGATGATTAAGAAAGGAATAAACGTCTCTGGTTCATTAATTTAATAACTTCAAGAATTCACTGACAAGACACTCTGGGTATTAAAGTTTAATGTCGAGCGCGTCAAATGCTCTGATAAGCTTCGATCCCCTCCTTTCCTCTTGCTAATGTTATTATTGTTATTATTTAGAAACAAAGAGGGCTAGGTGGTGGACAACCCACTCATTTATATAAATTAGTATCTTGACTGGGGATTTATAACCTAACGACTTTTATCTAGATACTTTTAAACGTTGAAATTGACGAGCAAATCAGCGCCGAATGTTTAGGGCTACCCCCACTTCTAGTCCCGCCTCCCACTCCTCGGTCTCAAGGCTTCGCTGCACTCAGGGGGGAGAGGGCTGTCGAAATATTGGAGTTATTAAAATAAAACGACTATTGGGGTGATAAAAATTGATACGTCTTTAAAAAATAAAGAATTCGTGGCGTCAACTGTAATTAAAGATCTACTTAATGATTATCGATACTCTATTAAAAATAAGTAATAAAATGTTTTGTTGACGTCAGCATATAATGTAAAATCTTGGAGGTCAAGAGTTCGAAAATGAATCATGACTAGATTTAGAAATCAAATTAATGAACCAAGCTAGGAATAGATCCTGGATCTTCCGATTAGGTCGGGTGCTTTTCCAATGAGTTGAATATTACCTAAGATTTGGTTCTAGCGTCGATGAGATGTATCCATGCCAAATTGTCGGGATAAAATTCAAAATTAATGGTTTATACAATTATTTGTCGGTTATTGGATTGGGTTTAGCTGTAGTTGTTAAAGTTTGTGGAAATTATAAGTTCACTAATATTTTTGTAGATAAGAAAAAATCGAATAACAATAATAAAGATAAAAGTACAACGTATGGCTGCATTAAGCTCCCCACAATTGACAAAACGCTTCAAGCGGTAATATAATTTAGACGCATTGACGTCAATGTATCAAATTCGAATTGTGAATCACACATATGAAATATGATTTAAGGGATCTAATTGAAAAAGTTACTTATCGATTTATTTTCAATAGCGGCCCTTTTGTTTGCGCCCTTATGGACAATATGGACACTTTGCGGATCTTTAAGGAACTTAAAATAAACTGGCACTCAATTTATGATCTACTGATCATCAGTCAGTCGACATAAACTTAACGGAAGTGTTTTTCTTGAAAATCGCGGAATCATTATCTAATATTTGTCACCTCATAGGTCAAGAGATAAACTAGATCTTCATTTTTAAACCAGAGATATATTACATACCTAGGCCAGTAAAATAAGAAAAGTCTCAGATCACATGTAATTGTTGACCGAGGCGAAGCCAAGGTGGGCAAACATGTGATCTGAGGCTTTCTTATTTACTGGCCAAGGTGACTATTTTTCTGCTCGACGTACCCGGAATGTGGCAACTTTGTTTAGCGCAGCGGCCAGAAAGTTGCCACGTTCCGGCCGAAGGGCAGAAAATTATTTTTTGTTCAATGGCTTTTTGATGTTTTTAAGTGAATTTTGTTTTTTATCAAGCGTTAATTATAATTAATTTATAAAATATTTCTGCTGAGTCTTATTTTTGTTATTCTTCATCGCTTTTGTAATATGAACTGCCATCTGTTGCAATGACACATAACTACTAAGATTTAGAAACTTTATAGATTATATGTTCTAGTTTGTCGAAAATGTCTTCCATTTATTTTTATTATTAGGAATTATCAGTTAGATCATTTTTAGTATTTTTAGTTCAAGGATAAGAATACCGAAACATTGCCAAGAATATGATTTATAGAGAATTTAATTTTCTTCAAAAAAGGTCTATTGTAATTTTTTAATATCTTCAATATTAAGGAGATCCACGCGAAGTAGTTAAGCTAGTTTGGGCTCCAAATGACTTCAACTTGACCCCATATTTTTTTATATTCATTCACAAGATTATGATTTAATACATCTATAGAAAAAAAATCCGATTTTTTTACCACACCGTTTAAGAGATATAATTAATTAAAGTTTTGCAAAAATACACGGTCTCTTATGAGTGTCCTTGTTCAATAACTCCGGAATTGGAGGATTTATAAAAAATCGGCCAACTTGATCCAATAAAAAAAACTTTCCAATAGATAGAACAATGCTTCATACATATTCTATCAAAATTTGATAACGATTTACCACATAGTTTTAATTTAATTAATTTTTTAATATCAAAAATTGGTTTCTATCTTTGTTGTTTGTCGGAGACATTACTCCCCCATCTTTATTAGGGAAAAAATGGCGATTTCTCGGTGCGCGGAAAATTTGAAATTGAAATATAATCATAAACTTTTTTTGCATTAAAATAAATTGTTATTAAACATACATTAAAAGTTCACGTAAATTATAGCAGATTTAATATATTGAAGTGATATTTGCAAATTTAAACAATAAATAAACACCATGAGCAACTGTTTTAAGTACCGACCTTACATAACCTATAACAGTTGTTATTGTTTTGTGACAGCCCAGTACTTGTCAGTTGATATTTTAATAGTTATATTATTATAACCATAATTATTTGACCATAATTATCAATTGAATTTAATCAATTAAATTCTGATTAGAAATAATTTTATATTTTATACTATTTTTCGAGTGATCTCTTGCAAAAAAGAAAAAAAAATATCTATTAATTAGACTTCGGAATACGGAGATCAAACTACCTTAAAAAAAAAAATTTTATTTTCATTGAATTTGATTGAAAAAATAATAAGCTTTTGGTTAAAACAATAAAAATAAAAAAAAAGTAGCTTTCCAAACGTATTACGGAGATATTTTATATTTTTTATGAAAAATCACTCGGAACTTGGGTTCTTTAAAGTCTTTTATTTGACTTGGCAACACCGCTTGCGCAGTTACTCAAAGCATAAGTAACCGCGGTTTTTTAAATGCTAGAAGATCTTAGTCATTTTAGTTAGACAGTAAACATAAATAAATTTGAAGGTTAGGGACACTCTTTTTGTGTTGGCAAGTGTAAATCGGTAATTCAGAGTTCTATATTTTTTATTAGCCAATTAAGGTAAAAGCCCTAATTATTGACACTGTAAAAGACAAAGTTATGATTTGATTTTTTTTAAGCAATCAAATATCAATATCGTTGAATTTTGTTTGTGGTAATGTCTCAAGTAATGTTTTTACTAATCAATTTCTTTTTTTAAAATCATAATCACTGATATTTACTAATTAATTTTAAATAATTAAATAGATTATCCGGAGACACCAATTGTTGACAGGTTAAAAAACTGATTGATCTAATTATTGACATACCTTAGCCCCAATTGTTGACACCTATACTAAGCATGCTTAGAATCATCAGCTTATTCTTATTTATCGAAACTTATTATTAAGTAATCAATATTATTAAAGTTTATTAATAATAATTTCCATAAATGATTAATTACTATTAAAAATTTAAAAATTAATTTAAAAATAATTTATTTAATCAGAAGAGTTCAAACTCTTACAGTTAATTTTTTAGGTTAAAATCAAAAAAAGACGTGATAGCGCTGTTGACTGGCTGTCAATATGAGATTCAACTTAAAAATTATCAACTAGTTATTGACACCCATTATTTAAATATTATAAAGGAAACAATTAATTTCGATTATTCAATTTTATAAATTTTTCATATATTGTTAATTGAAAAAAATAAAAAAAAAGATCATATAACTAGATGAAGAAATTAATTTAAACAGCATTTAAAAAAATTGCTTTTCTAACCAAAGTTGTTAAGAAAATAGACGCTCGTAAGGTTTTAACTGGTGCTAATTTTATTTTTTAATAATTAATATTTAATATTAACGGACAGTAATTTTTTTCAGTTAATTAATTAGAATTTAATAAAAATTTATATGATAGTTATTCTTATTACAGATAGTTAAATATATTTAAAAATAATTTAGGGTGTCAATATTTAGACCCCTGTCAATAATTGGGGCTTTTACCTTAAATGTTAATAATTATTTAATCTCTTTAAAAATAAACAACTTAATTCGTATTAATAAATTTATTGAAACATCAATTACAATAACCTATTAAAAAGAAGTAAAGTGCTGAATCTGTTGTAGATTCAGATCAAAATCAATATACCTAGCATGATCAACATTAACGAGTTTAGGAGCCAAGAACCCTCCGTAACCTTTTCCACCTCGATGGATTATCCCCACTCCACTGACAGCGCTGAGACTAGCGACACCTGCAGCCCTAGAGTCGAAGTACGGCACAGTGAGCTGCCCGAAGTCTTTTTCATAATCAGTCATCTGGAAGTTGACGAACAAGTTCTGGCTGGAGATATTAAGATTCTCCAGAGACTTGAGCGGATCATCGGAATTTGAAAGATCAACTTCTCTTCTGAAGCGCTGATAGGCTCCAGAGTGCTCGCCGGAAGTCTGGACGCTGATCCACTTCGAAGGGTAGCTTCTCGTAGGCTTCAGGTGTCCCTGGTAGTAGTCGTAGGGGGTAATATGGACCTGGAGCTCTAATGCAGTCGTCCGGTTGTCTGGGACATCGTACTGGTAATTAAGTCTCACTCCGGTGACGACGAACCCTGGGCTCGCGATCACGTCGTCTAGGTTCAGGGTCATCCTGTCGTGCTTCAGGAAGGTGTAGTCCATGTCGTAGACCAGAGGATAGTCTCTGTTGTCCTTTTTCAGCCAGAAAGAACCCTCTGGGACGTTCTTGTAGTACATTAGGTCAGGAAGTGGGACCCAGGATGTCGTTGAGTTGTCGATCTTGCCCTCCGGCAGGAGGTGGCCTTGCTCGATTTGGAGGTGGACTACGTTGTCCTTCTTTTGGAAACGGAAGTTTGTCATTACCCTGGAAGATTAAGAAATGACCTTGTATCTCGTGAACTATTGACATTTTTAAAGATATAAGCTCATCCTGATGTTACACTCATCGAGAGCTTTCATTTGAGTACCCACAACACTTTTTCATATATTTTATATATTTATATATATAATATATATTATATATATATATATGTATGTATATGAAAAATATATCAAAAATGCATGTGGGTATTGAAATGACAGCTCTCGATAAGTGTAACATCAGGATGAGCTTATACCTTTAAAAACATCAATAGTTAAGATCGTACAGTGCAATCTCCTTAAAATACTTTTTTAAATGTAAAAATAGCAATTTCTAAAAAACTTACATATTATGTTCAATATCAGCTACCTGGGGCATCAAACTAACAGTTCTGGTCGCAGAAGATTTAGCTCCTTGTTCAGAACATTGACACAGAAGACTTTGGCAGGTCGTGACTGTCATGGTATCTACGAAGCTACCATCGCAATTCAAGCTTGAAATATCATCGGTTCCATTGTTGATCCAATGGTACCTTCTTCCGTAACTCTTGTCCTATAAAGTGCCCCATAATCATTATTAACTCTGAATCTATAAATGTATAAAGCTAATTTAAGAAAGAAATGAAGATCAAACTTACCGCTTCGCAAAAAGACGCACTTGGAACAACCTTGCAGTGGTGCAAAATTCCATTGCACATGTTGTTATCAGTCGGGCAGTACTTTGGTACCAGCAAATTCTCGCTAAAACGGGTCTCGTCTAAGCACTGGACTTTGTTTCGAATTATCGCAGTTGGTTCAATGTCTCTTTTTACCCGCAATTTGTCAACACTGCTCCACTTTGTACCTGACAAATATTTTACATTGTTCTGAGAAGCCCGTGGTTTATAAATAGGTTTTTGTTGATACATGAAAGTATTGAACTCTTCGGATTCGTCTGTTAGCAACGGAGTTATCTTATGAACGCATCCTGTGGTCACTTGTCTTTCGTTGAGGTAGTACAGACCAAACAAATAATCCAGTCGGAAGTAGTTGATGTCTAGAAAACCATTAAATTATAAGCAACAGGTTATGGGGCCAGACGAACCAATAAGGAATCAGTAACCATTTTTTTCGAGATTTTCAATACTAAACTAACTTCAATCATCAATTTTATATTATAGGATTTGAAAAACATTACCTAGATCATATTGCGGTGGGTCGCATCTGACTCTTTCGCGGGAAGCTGCTCCGGTTATCTCTTTGATAGCGAGCAGGTATTTGCTCATTCTCTCCAATGTATGAGTTATCAATACCGTCATCGCATTGTTGTTATTTTCTGGAATTCATTGTTTATTATTATGTTTGGGTGAGTTGAAAAAAGAAAAAGAATCTTACCTGGCTGAATTAGTTCTTCGTATTTATAGGAGAAGACTATCATCATAAAGGCTCTCAATTCTTGAACCATTACTAGATTGTAGATCATCTTTATTTCTTCTTGGAGTGATAGGGTAGAGTCACATGTTTTATTAAATGTTAGTTTCTGAAACTTTTACATTAATCTTAGTAAAAGCTAGTTAATTAAAAAAAATCCATGTAGGTTTTTATGTAAGAAACAAGTATGGATTTATATAGAAACCCATAAAGGAAATAGGACTTGGATTACTATATGGAAATCCACATGACAAGGGTACATGGATCTCATGGGAAATCCACTAAAGAAACTGTGAGACATACATTCCCAAAGTTTCCTATATGGATTCCTTAAAAAATCACAGATTCCTACATTGAATCTTCTGGATTCCATATCTCCAATATGAATCCATACTTTCTCATGTGGATTCCCATGGATCCCCATACAAATCTACATGGATGTTTTTGATAGGCTATACTTGAGTGTCATTTAAGTATATAATATCAATTAAAGATCTTGGACAACTGGGTGGTGCAGAAGACTGACAAGCGCAAAGTTCGCGGTTCAAGTCCTCGATGTACCCAGTTGTTTTTTTCTGACCTATGGCAGTATATATAATTACATAAAACTATATGTAATTATATCAGATTTGGTTGCTGGATTCCTACAGAATTACATGAAAATTCTACAGGAAAGCATATAGGAATCTATCCGAAAATACCATGTCGAAATCTATGAACATGGGTGTTTTCAATAAAAAATTTTCTATTCTTTCTGTGACTTAGATGTACTGGATAAAGAAAAGAACCGTTTAACTAATCCGTAGATTAAAAAGAAAATATGAAAATCCCATTTTTTTTTTTGGAAAATCCTACTTTATTGACTTCCAATAAACCAAGAGAACTTACCTTTGGATTATTGAAGTACTTGAATAACGCTTCATATATAAAAGCGCCCTCTCTCCGCTCGAAGTAACTCCTCAAATCCCGTACGCTCATAATAAGTTTGTTTTCCTTGTAGGAAAAAATCGACCTAACCATTTCATCGATCGTCAAGGGCGCCACTTTGAGTTTCGGCTGCGAAAACTTTATAAAGTCTTCATAGAACCGGTCGATAGCTGCAGAGTATCTATGGATCTTCACCAGCGCGTCGTCTCGCGTTCGGGACGCGTCGTTTTGAATTTCTAACTTATCAATCACCATTTCCAACATGGAGTCCAACGTATCTGTTATACTCTCAGTGTACTTCGGTATTTTGTTAGTTATTTTTCTGACATTATTCATCATCCGTCGAATGGTTCTTTCCACTTGAATGTTCTGACCGGGGAGCTCTGTTAAGTTTACCGACTGTAGGTTGTCCGACACTGGGTAACGCGTGTAGTTCTTCTGGGCAGTTACCGGCCGATGGTGCTTTCTAAAGCTAGAAACTACTCTACCGATTGTTGATACAATGTCCTTTACAGTCTGCCCGATATGGTTTATCGACGCTAAACCTGTTGCTGCTTCGCAATTGGAGTTTAGGATTACCACCGCTAGGATCAAAATTAGTTTTAGTTTCGCCATATTCGTTCTGAAAATTAATTAAATTTGTCATCTTAAAATCTTAAAATTAGAGAAATTTATCTTAACTTAATGTGTAGCTTCAAATTATTCATAAAAAATTGGATTTTTTCAATTAATTAAGAAGATCCACGTAAAGTAGTTGAATTTTTAAAACTAGTGGAATTTTTTATTACTCGTGTGTTAAAATCGACTCAAAAGATAATTATTCAAGTTTTTATTGCATAAAATTGTTTTATAAAAGGCTCATTCATTAGAAATCATAAAAAAAAAGAGATTGTCAACAGTATACGACAAAATGGAGGCTTGTAATACCAAGCGCGGCAAATTTAAAAATGACTTGTAGATAATATATTTCAATAAGTTACTTAAAGATAATTATTTATTAATTATTTACAATTATTTAATTATTTAATGAGTATATTTTTCGAAAAATTTCCTTAATAATATTATTAATTTTTAAAAATTAATTTAAGATAACAAAAGTATTTCTATTATTTTTTTAGACATTCTTTACACTAGGAAGGTACTTGGATCTTCTTAATTAAAAACAATTCATACCTTATTGAAAAGTTAATGCGCCGGAACGTTGACTACTGACGAATTACCAAAATTTTTGTACACCACATATGTTCCCAGCCCTCCTACTCTAGATAAATAATCCAATTATCTATAAAATGACCCAGTGAACAAAGAACTCAATCTAAAATAAAAATAACTTCAAATGGCCTCACACTGACGTCAATTCTTAATTATCTAATTACTGCGCACATTTACTGTATTTAATGATCGATAACAAAATCACGCCACAGGTAATTAAGAATTAAAGTAGTCAACAAAGTTATTACTTAAAATGATAGTCTTTTATTGCAACACTCAATTAGAGTACACATTTATTGTTTTATTAATAACTAGTAACTATGTAAGCAATAGTTATACATATTGTATAAAAAAAAAATATAATAAAAACAATATTATTAGAACAATTGCCATTACAGTAGGAATCACAAAACGGTTAATGTCTGGTCCTAGCAATTATTTATCATTATTATTAATTAACTTTATTTTATTTATTTATTTATTTTATTTAATATTAATACAATTGACGATCAGTTTCTTCGAAGGCACAACGATCCTCAGCCCTTACGACTAACCTCAAATTAGCTGACGTTTATTGAAAAAGACACGGTGGTATTTGTACTAATTTTATTTTAATATAAATTTTAAATACTTTCTTAAAAAAAATAAAAAAAAAAATAAAAAATATAAATAATAAAAAAAAAATTTTTGATTGTAAAAAATAAATTTTTTAGTACCAAATTCAACACCGCGTCTTTCGCAGAAGATTCAGCCGAATTGAGGCTTTTTTTTTAAAAACACAATGTGTGATCGTAAAGGGGACCGAGTGCCTTCGTGCGTACAAAAAATAATAATAATAATAAATTGACATAACCCTAAAGAAGTAAAACGTAAAAATGCATACATAATAAGTCGCAATTAACACTTACAGAGGAGCTTAACCTCACAAAAACATATCCCAATTGGTATTGCTAAGAGTAAGGACACTTGCTGATAGTCGAAACCGACTGGCCTTGAAAATTTTTCAACCATTTTTTAAACAGCCTAGCCTAGTAATATTAATTAAGATAGTTATAGTTATACAGTACAATAGTTACAGTTATTAATATTTTCTTAATAGTAGTACAGTATATTTCAATAAAAATATCAATATATAATCACAAAATGAGACTAAGGCCCAGATACCAAAAATGGCCGTGATCGTTAAAGTGGTCCCGAGCTATCTTTAGGTTATTAATAGAAATAATTGTATCAGCGGGCCACCAGTTTATAGTCAGCCTTTTTCTCTCCTCGTTCGGTTGAGTATTTTGAGACAGAGCGAAGAGGAAGCTGATATTTTATTTGATTTTTTTTACTGTATACCTTAATAGTTGAAAAAAAAAAAATTTTTTTCAGGTTATGGGCCAAGATAAACAATATTTATCAATTTATAGGCCAAGATATTGAATATTATTCAGGTTATGGGCCATAATAAATTTTTTTACAGGTTATGAGCCCAGGCAAAAATTTTTTTTTCAGGTTATGGGCCCAGATAAACAATATTTATCAATTTATAGGCCAAGATATTGAATATTTATCAGGTTATGGGCCATAATAAATGTTTTTTGTCGGTTAGGGAACATGATAAAATTTTTTCTTCAGGTTATGGGCCAAGATATTGACTATTTGTAAAATTAGGGGCCATAATAAATTTTTTTGACAGGTTATGGGCCAAGAAAAAATTTGTTTTATAATATTAAGGCACACATTACAAAAAATATCTAATTAAAAAAAATTCTAAAGCAAAAAAAAAATCTCGGGAGTTAATAATTATAAACACTCTGATACTCTGGAATGGATTGAGATTTATAAAATAATTATTATAGTAATTATAAAATATTATCTTAGAGTATGAATGATGACTTAAGTACAACCACAACAAAAACTAATAATAATAATAATAATAATAATAATTTTAATAATAATAATAATAATAATAAAAAAAAAAAAGAAACTTTGTCATAATTATGGCATTCTGGACGCTCTAGACGCTTCCGTAATTATCAGTAAACTAACTGTTGATAATTATCCTCGCGGGTCCATTTTGTCGAATCGTACTCGAGGGATTTTGCGTAAAGAAGCTAAGCTCTACTTGGATTAATTTTGATTAAATAAAAGACGTTGGAGATCCGTCGGTGTCTCACTCGGACCGCTCTTTGCCTTCATCATCCCTTCGTCGGTCGAATCTGAAACATATAATTTTAAAATTAACATTTGTAAGATATTGATCTAAAATAAAATTGCTAAGTATGTCAACAAGGGTTCAGAAGACTTTTAGGTCTAGTAAAGAACAAGGTTTATGAAGTTTCGATAGATGGCGCCACTGGCTGGAGACATAGTGTTTTATCGACCGGAAAATGTTATGAGATTTAAAATAAGTTTAATGATAATAATCTTATCATCTATATTATTAAGACGATACATAATTAAGAAATAACCTTGTATCTTGTGAGCTTATGACATTTTTAAAGATATAAGCTCATCCTGATGTTAGATTCATCAAGACCTTTCATTTGAGTACCCACATCAATTTCTCATATATTTTATATATTTATAGGAACATCGGGATGAGCTTATATCTTCAAAAATATATATTATATATATGTATATATAAAAAAATATATCAAAAATGCATGTGGGTAATCAAATGAAAGCTCTTGATGAGTGTAACATCAAGATGAGCTTATATCTTAAAAAATGTCAATATTTAAGAAAGTACAGTGCAATTTAATAAAAGTCATTATTTAATTAACCAAAATTTTATTTATTTATAGTTAAATAGTGACTGCAAGGTTACTAGTTTTAAATTAAAGTTTTTTGATCCTGTAGCTAAAAATAAAGGACTCTTGGTCCTTTTTATCACTAAAATATTCTAAAAACTACCAAAATAAAAGACGATTGATAAATTCTTATCAATCTCAGCCCTTGAGTAGTCGTTTTATAACTAACCAGTTTTCAGCAGAAACAAGTGCCATCTCTCATAATTCCCTTAAGTATATCATTACCGACAGTTCTGATCGGATATCTGGATAATAATCCAACATAGTAAATAATTCCAGATGTAAATGCGTCGCCTCTGTTCAAGTGCCATCACTTGATAATACTCTGGACGTCTTTGTCCTTGATAACCTCGAAAGAGTCTTAAAAATTAAATTATAAAAAGTAACTCAAAATAAAGCAGGTAAGAGGTGAAAGTACTGGAGATCCTTGATCTTGAATTCCCCGCTGATGCAACGTCTGACGTTCATTACACACCGTGTTTATGTACATAAAACTCTTCGGTAATGTATAATGTATAATCTATCCGTGTATACTCGTTCTTAAAATCGCGTGATTCGGTATCGAAGTAATTTGCTATTTATATTATCCATCAAACTTCCGCTCCGTGATATCCCATAAAAACGCTAACAGTTTGCGGTACACTATCATCATCTTCCAGCAGATCAGGCGTCTTGGATCTTTCATTTTCTTTCCAACATATCATCTGCATGTCCATCTTAACGTCTGTGTTCCGTGTCATTGATAGACTGTCGATGTATCAAGTATCTACCAATTGAAACTCTCGATACTTTACTTAGCAACATTTGTTATTCGGGTGGCGTTCGGAAAATAGATAAGCGATTCTAGGAAACATTTCCGATATAAAACCCTGGCACGTTGTAGTGTACAGGACGTGGCTTTATCATCTAGCCGCTGACAAACACCGGGACACGTGACATCCTCCTACGTGGGCGTCAGACGCCGTTATGTCTCGGCCTTTTCTTTGTTTTCTTTTCCATGTACGGATTAGTTAAACAGTCCCTTTCTTTATCCAGTACATCTAAGTCACAGAAAGAATAGAAAATTTTTTATCGAAAACACCCATGTTCATAGATTTCGACATGGTACTTTCGAATGGATTCCTATATGCTTTCCTGTAGGATTTTCATGTAATTCTGTAGGAATCCAGCAACAAAAATTGATATAATTACATATAGTTTTATGTAATTATATATACTGCCATAGGCCAGAAAAAAACAACTGGGTACATCGAGGACTTGAACTGCGAACTTTGCGCTTGTCAGTCTTCCGCACCACCCAGTTGTCCAAGATCTTTAATTGATATTATATACTTAAATGACACTCAAGTATAGCCTATCAAAAACATCCATGTGGATTTGTATGGGGATCCATGGGAATCCACATGAGAAAGTATGGATTCATATAGGAGATATGCAATCCATAAGATTCAATGTAGAAATCTGTGGATTTATATAGGAATCCATATAGAAAACTTTGGGAATGTATGTCTTACAGTTTCTTTAGTGGATTTCCCACGAGATCCATGTACCCTTGCCATGTGGATTTCCATATAGTAAACCAAGTACCCATACCTTATGGATTCCCTTTAGG